CATTTTTATTCATTGATATATATATATATATATATATATATATATGTGTACATTATATATTATATGAATAATTGATTTATAGAATATTACGTCAAATAATTAAACAAATAAGAAATAAGATCCGGCTGTTTTAATGTGTACAACATACATATGATAGAGAGCGCCAATGATAGGGCAAAGTTAAATGTTATGAATACAATATATATTCTTAATTTAAATTTAATTATCTCAAATGTGCGCCGAAACATTCGGACATTAACCACAATCGATCTGAGATATTAATAAATAATATAAATTCGGACATTTTTATATATGAAATATATCCCCCCCCCCCAAATTAATTCGGTAAAGAATATTTCAGCTCCTCATCATATTTATATTATTTATTAATATCTCAGATCGATTGTGGTTAATGTCTAAATGTTTCGGCGCACAGTCACATCTGAGATAATTAAATTTAAAGTAAGAATATATATTGTATTCATAACAACTAACTTTATCATTGGCGTTCTCTATCATATGTATGTTATATAAATAATTAGACATACGTGTATAATCACAATGCTTTTTAGGGCTTATACAAGGTCATGAAGTGATATTTATAGAATACATTTAAAATCACGTATTATTAAAGGAAAAAGAGTAGTGCTTATCACACATAACAGCGGATAAGACTATAACCGATTATCTTCTTATTGGACATATGTCGATAACGCATGCACCAATATTTCGTGAAAAAATGCGTCAACACTGCAGAATTTTAAATATGAAATATCAAATCTATAATATGTCTGTAATAGAAATATATCATTAATTTCGTGTCAATTTAATCGAAAAATTCAAATATAAAAAACTTTTCAAAACATTTTTAATAATTTAATATTATATTTTTAAAAAATATAAATTGCATAAAAAAGATTAATTTATATATGTACAAAAATTTTTTTCAAATATAAGTAAAAATCGACTTTTAAATCATTTTGATCGCCCACGCGTGTATGTGTGTATGTGTACTTTAAATCAAAATAAAATGTATATTCATGCATATGTATTCATATAAATCACATATTTAGGAGATTTAACGCGCATTTTACTGAAGAGTCATAATTTTTGTTGACGTAATATTTGTCGACATAACTTCCGCCAATTCACACGATTTACATTTCATTGCTATTACTACCGGAAAATTATGCACTAACAGCAAAAGTATGGAAAGATTGTCGACCGCTTTCGCTGACTGCCAGTGATTTTCCGCAATGCGCATTTCATTGGAAGAATTAAACTTGATTTCATTATGTCAGCGGTATTTACGATCGATGTCAAGAAATACTAATTGAAGTTAATATCGACTTGTGTATAGATTAATCAATGCAAATTTCTCCTCTGTATTCGCGATGTCATGTCAAAATATCCGTTAAATCACAAATTAAAATGCATTTATTATGGCTATAACACAACAATGTCATTTATTCCTATGTATTTAATATTTAAGACTCATTATATAATTAATGTAAAGATACTTCATTAATAAAAATATTTCTATTTAGTATCTCATTCATATATTCACTGTTAATTTCGTGCCAAATTATTATATATATGATTATATAATGCCAAATTATTATATACAAATTAAATCATTTTTCATCATTCTAGGTTGTATAAAAGTCACTGCTTCTATACAATATGTCGTTAATTTAATTAAAATAATAGTTAAAAAATTCAACTAAAAAAATTATTAAATTTGATTATTCAAATTGTTTATTATTTACTAAGTGTATAAAGTTAGTTTGAACGCTATTTACTTTTAAACTTTTCTGTAGTCGAATAAGCAATCGAATAAACAATTGAAAAGAATTGATTAAATTTTATTTTTTAATCACATACTTTGTAGATATGAGAAGAAAATAAACAATTTTTGTCTCTTACAATTTTTCTGTAAAGTTAAGTATTTGAATAAAAAATTATTGAATATTAATTTTCGACAATTTTTAGTAATTATCTTGTTTACTATTGCGAAAATTGTAAAATGATAGAGGACTTTTCTTTTCAGTTTAATCCATTCTGCTCCTGTAAGTTGTATCGTTACTTATCGAACACCCTATATATGTATATATATATACACACACACACATATATATATATATATACATATATAATATTGTTAAATTAATCAGTATTAAAATATTTAGATAAATAAAATATTCACATAATTGAATTATAAACTTTAACATTGCTCGAAATTTTAATATTTGTCAAAATGTGTTCTCATGATTTCTAATATTTAAAAAATTTTTACTATTATAAATATATTATACATGCAAAATCTGTAGTAAATATTATATTAAATTTTGTGCATGAGATTTTCAACACAGTTATAATATTTCAAATTTTATTGTATAATTTCTATAGCATCGTATTACTAGAAGTATGCCCTTAAATATTACATTGCTACGTAAGTAAATCATTTTAATAAATGTATTTTGAATAAATTTATAAATCCAAGATTTCAAGAATACATCCAAGATCTTAATATCGAGATTATAATAGTTTCAGACTTATTACATAAATAATTAAGTTAATTGTCATTGTGTAGAATTCGCATGTTTAGATATGTACATGTATATATATTAACAATTTTTTCCGTTATTAATATTCTATCGTATCTGTAGTTTATTTGTTTCTTATGACGTAGTCTTCTTGATTTATATACGTATATAATTATATATGTACAGGATATAAACCATTATAAATTAAAATGTATAAGATTTAAATTTTTAATAACATACACACGGGTTTTCAATTATATAACTTCGATCATTTTCTATAAAAAATTATTTATAAAATGCAGATATTTAAACTTATTCTATTATACTACTTTACATAAGTAAAAAACATGAAATGCGCACAACAGAACGTCGAATTTATTAATATAAATTTTGTTCGCAAAATAAGATAAAAGCTTAAAATTATTTACACATAAAATTATTCACGGAATAACAAGAGAAACAAGAATCATAGATAAAGAGCAATAATAAAATTCAACAATTCCGAGTTTCAATTTTACATATATTTGTGTAAAACGGAAATGTTATGCGTTACATAACATATTTAGGTGATATTGAAGTTACTCGATCAAAATCAAATAAATAAACAAAGGATTTCGATACATAAATATAACATATATTTACAGTTTTTCAAATAATTCTTTAGTATCTTAATCAAAATATTTATAATAGAGAAGTTCTGAATCACTGAATCTCTGACTTGCGCCATGTTTATCCATGGAAATTTTCTGATTTCATTTCGGA